GGGGCTGATGCTCTAACCCCTGAGCAACACTGGCCAAGGCTACCACAGTTTTTTTATCCATCCACCTATGGTGGGCACTTGAGCAGCTATCAAACCTTTTCTTTAAAAAAAGTTTTTTTTAAATACATTTTATTCATTTTTTACAGAGAGGAAAGGAGAGAGATAGAGAGTTAGAAACATCGATGAGAGAGAAACATCGATCAGCTGCCTCCTGCACATCTCCTACTGGGGATGTGCCTGCAACTCAGGTACATGCCCTTGACCGGAATCGAACCTGGGACCTTTCAGTCCGCAAGCCGACGCTCTATCCACTGAGCCAAACCGGTTTTGGCTAAAAATTTTTTAAAAACATTTTTGTATTGTTATAGAAAGAGAAAGGGAGAGGGAGAGACAGAGAAACATTGATGTGAGAACAAGACATCTATCTGCGGCCTCCTGCACTCCCTCTACTGGGATCCAGCTCACAACCTGGGCATGCACCCACACTGTGAATGGAATGGCTAACCCGTTGGTACACAGTATGACACTGAACCAACTGAGCCACACTGGTCAGGGCTTGCTGCTTCCAAATCTTGTCTATCCTATCTAATAAAGCGGAATATGCTAATTGACCCTCATGCCATCACAAAGATGGCGGTGCCCACAGCCGATAAGGAGGGAATATGCTAATTGACTGCCACACCTTCAAAGATGGTGGTGCCCACAGCCAATAAGGAGGGAATATGCTAATTCCCTCAAAGATAGTGGTGCCCAGTCCCCTCAGCCCTACCTGCCTCCGGAGTCCCCCAGTCCCCTCAGCCCCTTAGTCACCCAGGGCTGGCCGAGGCTTATGCTGCTGGCAATGGCAGTAGCAGAGGTGTGATGGGGTCAGGTTTGATTCTGGTCAAGGGCATGTACCTTGGTTGTGGGCACATCCCCAGTAGGGGGTGTGCAGGAGGCAACTGATTGATGTTTCTCTCTCATTGATGTTTCTGACTCTCTATCTCTCTCTCTTCCTCTCTGTAAGAAATCAATAAAATATATTTTTTAAAAAATAATGCTACAATGAATATAGGGTGCATATTTTCTTTTGAATTGGTGTTTTGGAGTTTCTTTGGATATATTCCCAGAAGTGGAATCTCTGGGTCATGAGGCGGTTCCATTTTTAATTTTTCGAGGAAACTCCATAGTGATACTTGTCAACTGTGGATTTATTGATGATGGCCATTCTGACAGGTGTGAGTGATTTTTCAGTGTGGTTTTAATTTGCATTTCACTGATAATCAGTGACTTTTAGCATTTTTCATGTCTATTGGCCATCCCTATGTTCTCTTTGGAGAAGTGTCAATTCAGGTCCTTTGCCCATTTAAAAAAGTATATATACACACACACTAGAGGCCCGTTGCACGAAGATTCGTGCAATAGGCCTTCTTTCCCCTGGCTGCCAGCACCAGTTTTCCTCTGGCACCCAGGACCCAGACCTTCACTCTGGCCACCGCCTTCCATCTTCGGTCTGGACACAGTCTTCGCTGCAGCTGGAGCCTTCAATCTTTGCTCCTGTAGGTCCTTCCGCCCCCCACCCTCCCCCTCATAGCTTGATGGCTGCTTCACCTGCAGACCTCGCCGACGGGCTCCTGGGTCCCAGGGGGCTGCCTTTCCTGTGGCCTGGCTTTCCGATCATGATCATGATCACGGGCCACAGGCAAGGCGGCTCCTGGGTCCCGGGGGGCCACCTTGCCTTTGGCCTGGCTTTCTGGCGGATCCTGGGGTCGCACATGGGGGTCTGGATGGCAGCTCCCAGTGTCCCACCCTGCCTGCAGTATGCAAATTAGCTGCCATCTTTGTTGGCTGTTAATTTGCATATCACGCTGATCAGCCAATGGCGATGGTAGCGAAGGTATGGTTAATTACCATGTTTGTCTATTATTAGATAGGATATATATGCTGGGTTCTTTTTGTGTTCTTTTATTTCCTTTTTTAACAAAAATTCTCTCCAGATATTTTTTTTATTGCTTTTGGAAAAATAGGAAGTGAGAGGGAGAGAGAGATACATCAATTAGTTGCCTCCCATACACACCCCAACCAGCAATCTAACCCACCACTGGGATATGTGCCGTGACTGAGAAGCGAACTCACAAACTTGTGGTGTACAGAACAGTGCTCCAACCAACTGAGTCACCAGGCCAGGGCTGCCCATTTTTTAATTGGATTGGCCATCTATATGCCCTCTTTAGACACGTGTCTATTCAGGTCCTTTGCTTATTTTTCAATTGGATTGTGGGGGGGGGGTTGGTGTTGAGTAGTATAAATTTTTGTTGTTGTTGTTAATCCTCATCTGAGAAATATTTTTCCATTAGTTGTTTGTTTTTTTAGAGAGAAGGGAGGAAAGGAGAGAGAGAAACATCGATTGGTGTGAGAGACACATTGGTTGGCTGCCTCCCACACATGATTGGGTCAGCGAACAAACCTGAACCCGCAATCCAGATACATCCCCTTGACCGGGAATCGAACCCAAGACACTAACCAATGAGCCATAGTGGCCAGGGATTGTATATGTTCTTTATACATTTTGGGCAATTAACCCCTTATCAGACATTTCATTGTGGAATATGTTCTACCATTCAGTTAGTTGTCTTTTCATTTTGTTGGTGATTTCCTTTTAGTTTGATATAGTCCAAATTGTTTATTTTTCTTTTTTCAAAATACATTTTTTATTTTTTACAGAGAGGAAGGTAAAGGGATAGAGAGTTAGAAACATTGATGAGAGAGAAACATCCATCAGCTACCTCCTGCACACCCCCTACTGGGGATGTGCCCGCAACTAAGATACATACCCTTGACTGGAATCGAACCTGGGACCCTTCAGTCCGCAGGCCTATGCTCTATCCACTGAGCCAAACCAGTTAGGGCTATTTATTTTTCTTTTGTTTCCCTTTACAGAGGAGATACTTCAGAAAAAAATATTGCCAGGAGAAATGTTCGAGATTTTACTGCCTATGTTTTCTTCTAGGATTTTTATGGTTTTGAGCTTTACATTTTTTAAAAAAATATATTTTATTGATTTTTTACAGAGAGAAAGGGAGAGGGATAGAGAGTTAGAAACATTGATTAGCTGCCTCCTGCACACCTCCTGCTGGGGATGTGCCCACAACCAAGGTACATACCCTTGACGAATCGAACCTGGGACCTTTCAGTCCACAGGCCGACGCTCTATCCACTGAGACAAACTGGTTAGGGCTTGAGCTTTACTTTTAAGTCTTTAATCCATTTTGAGTTTATTCTTGTGTATGTTGTAAGAAGCTGGTCTAGTTTCATTTTTCTTTTTCTTTTTGCATGTATCGCCCCAATTTTCCCAACACCATTTATTGAATAGACTAAAATAGTCTATTCATTGTATGCTCTTGCCTTCTTTGTCAAGTATTACTTGACCATAAATCCATGGGTTTATTTCTGGGATTTCTGTTCTGTTCCATTGATCTACATCTGTTTTTATGCCATTACCATGGTGCTTTGGTTATGATGGCCTTGTAGTATAATTGAATATTAGGTAGTGTGACTCGTCCAGCTTTGTTGTGCTTTCTCAAGATTGCTGTGGCTGTTTGGGGTATTTTGTGGTTCCATATGAATTTTTGGAATATTTGTTCTAGTTATGTGAAGCATATGATTGGTATCTTGATAGGAATTGCATTGAATGTATAAATTGCTTTGGGTAGTATGGACATGTTGGTGATATTAATTCTTCCTATGCATGAACGCCATATATGTTCCACTTAAAGTTTACATTTCAATTACAATTTACATGTAATTTTATTTTGTATTCATTTCAGGTGTAGAACATGGTGGTTAGACAAATCTTTATAAATGTTTTCCCTGATATTTTTAATACCCCCCTGGCACCTTATATATTTTGTAATCATGCCAATTCAACATGAAATTATTATGTATTGCAATGAAGGCCATTGTACGTGTCAAGTCTTAAATTGTGCCTCAAGGTCAACGCCCAGGTTACAGTGTTACTGTTTTACTGTAAAGACTTTTCTTTTGTGTGATCTGTCTATGTGTCCTAAAAATTTGTATTAAGTAACCCTCAGGCTCATGAGTGGGAGGACTTTTGTAGAGTCTAAGTTGCCCTGCTTTCCTCATGCCTTAGCTCTAACTCTGATAACTTCTTAGCTCCATGAAATGAGACAGGCAAAAGAAGGTCACACTGAGTCAGAAATAAATATATAAGCAAATGATAATTCATATTTCTCCAAAAGAATATTTTCATTCAACCAGGTAGGGCTAAATACTTATAATAATCTGGGTACTTCAGGATGATATAACCAATTACATTTTGTTACAAGTTGAATTTTCACATACCTCCTGGCCTCTCGTGTTTGGTAATGAGAATAGAAGAAAAAGCTTCTAGCCTGGCTGGCATGGTTCAGTGGTTGAGCATCTACCTATGAACCAGGAGGTTATGGTTTGATTCCTGGTCAGAGCATATGCCTGGGTATTGGGTTCCATCACTAGTGTGGATTGTGTAGGGGGGCATCTGATCAATGATTCTCTCTCATCATTGATGTTTTTATCTCTCCCTTCATCTCTAAAATTAATAAAACATATATTAGAAAAAAGAAGAAAAACCTTTCAGGCCTTTATTGTATTCATAGTCATTAAAACGTTATACAGATATGATAGTGTGCTTCCTGGAATGCTGCATCATATGGTGGTTCTAAAGATGAGTTTTCTCACCAGGAATTAATGTACTTAAAATAGACATATTTTGTTATCTTTTTCAAAGTCCTCTTTACCCTGACATTAGAGAGCAATGAAGTGATCCCAATAAAAAAACCACATGGCAATAATTCCATGTGTTCATGACGAAGTAAGTGTGGCCAATAGATCATAGTCTGACACCGAAGTCATAGAATGAATGTTGGGGAGCACATGTCATTTATGAACTTATGAGTTATATATAGATCTCTTGTGCTATCTGTCTCATCCTTCCTCCTGTATATGTATGGGGGATGTTTTAGGACACAGTGGCCTTTGAGGATGTTAATGTGGAGTTCACCATGGAGGAGTGGGCTTTCCTGGATCCAAACCAGAAAAAACTCTACACAGATGTGATGCAGGAAACCTTCTGGAACCTGGCATCAGTAGGTAGTGATCACACTTTCTTACTTATTTAATCAATTACAAAACAAATGTTGCTTGCTCATCAATATTTTAAGAACTGAAATGTCGGAAGGGGAATGAATACATTGATAAACTGGGCATTGTCACAGCTCATTGTGTATCTGAAATTTAACCATTTTTTATATTCTTTAATATTTTATAATGCTTTTTCTAGCATGTATTTTGGAAGAAAAATGTGAAGACCATGACAGTGAAGATCAGTATGAAAATCATGGGATGAGTCTTAGGTGAGTCGCATTGACAAGAGAAAGCATTAAGAGCATCTTTGCTTTTTTAAAATATATGTTTTTATATATTTATTTTCTTTATTTAGATATTTAATGTTTTTTTATTTATTTCAGAAAGGGAGAAAGAGAAACATCAATGATGAGAGAGAATTATTTAAGGCTGCCTCTTGTACGCCCCACACTCAGAATCAAGTCCAGAACCTGGGCATATGCCCTGTCCAGGAATTGAACACTGACCTCCTGGTTCAGAGGTCGGTGCTCAACCACTGAGCCTCGCCGGGGGTGCAAAAATAATGTTTTTATTGATTTTAGTGTGTGGAGGTGAGAGGGAGAGATAGAAACATCAATTGGCTGCCTCCTGCATGCCCTGGACTGGGGTTAATAATTCTGCAGTCTGGCCACATTGCCTTTTGGGGAATTGAACCAGCAAACCCCTGGTGGGTGGATCCATGCTTAACCACTGACCACATGGGCCCAGTCCACAAAAAAAGCTTTAAAACAGGTAATCCAATTGTATCAGTCCAGTTTTAAATTTATTGACTCTTATAATATTCTCATCCAAATGTTTTTTTCTGAAATATGATCTAGTTGTTTAGTGTATAAAAAGAATTACACTTGGAAACCATATACAGAAGTACCATTAATGACTATAAGTGTTTTCATAACATCTATGATCCAACCTATTTTAGAGGTTTTAGGATATTTACATTCAAATATTGGATATGCAGATATGCTGCATTTACCTTGAGAATGGTGAAAATGTCATTGTCATGCTATTTTTTTTGTCATGCTATTAATAAATATTAAATTGTTAACAGAGTATTAATAATATGTTTCTGATTTTTACAGCAGTCATATGGTAGAGAGACCCTGTAAAAGGAAGGATGGTAGTCAATGCAGAGAAAACTTCAGCCAGATTCCAAATCATAATGAACAAAAGGACACTCCTACTGCGATAAAACAACGTAAATCCAAGTTGTGTAGGCAAATCTTCATGGGTTATTTATCCTTGAATAACCACCTGAGCTCTCACATTGGACCCAAACTATACCCGTGTCAGGAATATGAAGAAAACCCTTATAAATGTAAGGAACCTGAGAAAGCTTTCAAGCATCACCAACATATTCAAAGCCATGAAGGCAGCCCCAGTGGGAAAGCTTTCCACTATTCAGCTTCCCTTAGAAATCATGAAAG